TTTTTTTTTTTTTGGTACCGGGGATCAAACTCGGGTCTTTGCGCTTGCGCAGCAGGCAGCAAAACCACTGAGCTAAATCCCCGGCCCTAAATTTTTTTTTCTTTTTTGGGGGGAGTGATGCTGGGGATTGAACTCGGGTCCTTGCTGTTGTGAAGCACGCGGTGAAACCACTGAGCTAAATCCCCGGCCCGAGACCATACTCTTAAGTGAAATAAATTGGACACGCATGTTAAATATCACATTTTTTCTCTGATGTGTGAAACCAAAAGTGTAAATAAGGACCAACATGTACTATAGATATTGGGAAATGGGAAGAAAATGTCCAAATGAGAGTCGGGAACAAGGGAGAGGGGAGAGGGAAAGGAAAAAAGTGACAAGAAAAAAAAGACAAGAAGGAACAAACAAACCTCTTGTAAATAAAGAGGGGTTGAGGGAGGGAAGGGGAATGGGGAAAAAAAGTAAAAGCAAGAAATATCATATGCAGGTACAAATTCCCTATGTTGGATGTTATCATTATGTATATCTAAAATGTATCAATAAAATAAAAAAGAAGAAAAAGTGCTCTATATGCTTTTTCACTAAAATATCTTTGAAAGCAAGAAGGAAATTCTTGGTTCTCCTAAGGCTGAAGCCAAAGCAAAGGATTTAAAGGCTAAGAAAGAATTACCAAAAGTCACTGGCAGCCACACACACACAAAATCTTTAGATCACCCATTTCCTGGCAACCCCCAACTCTATGGCTTCAGAGGCAGTCAAGATAGTGTTGGAAGAGGACCCTCAAGAGACAAGATTGACCACCATGTCATCATCAAGTTCTCACTGACCACTGATTCTGCTATGAAGAAGACAGAAGACAACAGTATGCTCACATTCATTGTGGATGTCAAAGCCTATTGGTTTGTGCCACACACATCCAGGGTGGGGCCTCCAGTTTCAAGAAATCTATCCAGTCACACCCATAACTATGCTAATCCAATTATTGGACTCATCTAATTATCATACCCTCTTATCCAAGATCACACCCATGATGTACTCACTTCCCAAAAGCCCCAGGTAGGAGTGTATGAGGCTTAGAGAGACATCTAGATAGAAGCCATAACAATATGGGATTTGGCAGAAAATTCCAGGAAGCAGAAAAAGAACAGATTGTCTACAAAGATCTAAATGTTGCTGGAGCTGCAGGTGGCAAGAGATAAAACTGAGCCGATAAGCAAGGAAAAGCTACTGAAGGACAGTGAAAGCTACTTTAGGGAAAACGACTTAACTCTGAAGGCAAGACATGACATTGAAAGCTATTAGCTAGGAATGACATGAGGAAGTTTTCATTTAGAATACTAACTCCATTTGTAATATAATTAAGAAAGAAGAGAACCAAATTATATATACTTTAAGGTTAAAACAAAAGGAGAGGACAAGCACAGAGAACTTGCATACTTCTATAGTCTAAAGTTGAATTCAGGCATCTATGTTGGGTACATGGGTGGATACTTGACACTTCTTTTGAAGACTGTATTGGGTACATAAATATTTGTAGATAAAGATGCAAGTGAGAGGAGACTTTTTGGTGCTGGTGTTTGAATACAGGGCCTTGCAGCAAGTAAGCATGTGCTCTACCACTATGCCTCAGTCCGGTCCCAAAAAATTTTACTAGAGAATGGCTTAAACAAATCAAGCCAGGAGATAAAAGTACAATACTTCATAAAAAATAAAGGATATAAATAATTATGCATTTTTTCACATTTCCGCTACTATCCACATTGGTGAATGATACTGTTCCCAGCATGGCAATGTGCAACTTTAAAAGTTAGATTATTTTTTCTTTTAGAGAAAAGTAGTTTCTTTTATAGATAAGGAGCTTCCCTAAACTTCCTTGTGTAGAATGGCATAATCATCAATTCCATTTCTTCTCAGCATACACAAAGAAAATAAAGAGAATATGCTGATGCTGGCCCCAGGAGGTCAGGGCCCAGTTTCCTTTCTACCAGAAAGGGAAAGAGCAAGAGGAAGATGGCTGAGAATGATAAAGCAAGCCTGGAGATGTGTATCATCTCATTGAATTCCTCCTCCAGTCTGCTCCTTAAGTATAAAAGGATTTTGCATATCCGAAAAACTGAGATGGTACTTTGAGGCAAATGAGCCCCTCCATCTCCTCTGAGCTGGTTTTGAATAAAGCCTTTTTCCTTTCACCAAAGTAAATGGCCTCTTTTGTTTGGTCAGTAGCAAGAAAATAGACCTAAGCCTATGGAATGGAGTGACCAATAGTAATGGGACACAGTTTTGAAATCTTATTGTGCCTATAGATTTCTTATTAAATTAGAATTTTTTCTAGATTTTTTGAAAACATATTTTACTATTATGTACAATTTCTTCAAGCAAAAATACTCATGACTCGAGTAAGCAGATTTTCATGTGTTTCTTGGTTATACACTAGAACTTAAATACAAAACTTATTTATTGTTAATTCCACTTGGTAATTGAAATTAAATTTAATAGCTGTTAGATTAAAAGGTAAAATTACAAAAATCTTTTTTCATGTCATTGCTTCATCACGTTGTGGGACTGCACAACCTTTGTTCCTTTTCTCCAGCCCCATTGTGATTAAATGTGAGTTAATGGATAAAGATGCTTGTTAGTTTTGGGACGCTAGACAAAAATCTGTAACAGACCTAAAGTCCCAGAGTAAACTACTCAACTCCTTGTTTGCCCGGAACTGATGTTCCGGGCACCACAATTTTTAGAACAAGCTGCAAATGTCTGCTGACCATCAATACGTGACAGTCGACCACTAACCTTTGTCCCCTTTTCTTTAATTCTATATGTTAACTTCCCCCTCAACCCCCTATAAAAACAGCCTCGGATTCTGAGCCAGTGGCCTCTCTAAGCTATTTTGCTTTGGGAGTGCTGTCTGGCCAGACTAATAAAGGTCTGTTTTCCAACTTGTCCAGTGTGTTCCTTCCCGGGTGTTCTTCGCTGTAGTCAGCTCCTTGGAGCGTTTGGTAAGGCTCTTGGTCTTGCATTCTGAAGGCACTGCTGGGATCCCTGGGTGTGCTTCACTAGTCAGCTCCTCGGAGCGTTTGGTAAGGCCCTCAGTCTTACAATGTTAAGTAAAATTAAATGTTTTAAAATTTTTGTATAATTGCTACATATCACAAAATTCAATACATATGGAGAACAAAGCACTTTCAAAATAAAAAGCATCTTACCTTAAATGTTAAAATAGTCCTCATATAATTAGGCACTATTATGGATTTATTTGCCACATCTCCCACTTTGCAATCCATAATGATGGTTCCACAAGCCAGGGGTTTTTTCCCAATCCCTTTTATGTCAATGATATGCACCATACCATCCACTTTATTTTGCAGAGTAAGTTTACCCTATGACAAACCAGCCGAATGTCAGCTCTATAGCAGTCATAGTTCAATGTCAAACAATGTCTGCCATGATATTCATAATGAGTCTAGTGCAATGAGCTTGTAAACAGGTGTTAGCCATTGACTTTTCCAGTTCACATATCAATGTTTCTACTCAACAAATAAAACACTGGTGAAACTTTGCTATTGCTTTCTACTTTCTCTAAATAAGAGAGTACATGTATATATTCTCATATATAACAATTATTATGTGAATGTACTTCCTTATCAAAAAAAATATTATCTTGGCCAGGCCTGGTAATGCATGCCTGCAATCCCAGCACTTTGAGAGCCTGAGATAGAAGGATCACAAGCTCCAGCCCAACCTGAGCAACTTAGCAAAACTCTATCTCAAAAATTAAAATGAAAGGAGCTACAGATATAACTCAAGGAGATATACCCAAGATCTTGGGTTTAAACCCTGGCATACACCCTCAAAGTCATAGGTTTAAGAACATACTTGTGGATGTACTAATCTGTGTACTGAACAGGAACATAAGGAGCAACAGTTTTGTTATTCAGCATGTTATGTAAAAATAATCCAAGTATAACAGTAATGTGACTTTCAAAATATTTATCCTTCAAATTAAAAATATTTAAATTTCAAGCAAAATTATTAAATTTATGAAAAATATAAATTTTCACGAAAATGTTATCATCAAATAAAATATGTAATTTACATATTAATACTGGGGAAAGAATTAATGAGTTCATACCATAACCTCACACTCCAAAATCGGTTTGAACGTGAGAGGATATTCCACAGTTTCACCTGGTCTTACAAGTAAAATAGCAGGTCCATAAAACCATTTTCCTTCTATTTTAACTTGACATTTCCACGCTTTCTTTGTTTCATTATTCTACAGATGAAAAGAAAAAAGGTACAAAATCATCAGAGGATGATGCTGATGAAGCTGAGTTACATATGAATTCTGGGTACTTTCAGTGAAAATATATATTGTATTTTTCTTATATTAAAATCCCAATATTAAATCATATATTTAAAGAATGACTATTAAAAATGTGAACAAAAGGCCAAAGAATGACTACATGTTCTTTTTATGTCATACAGCGATATTACCTGATGGGTCTGTTAAGGATTATGTAATAACTAGAGAAATATTCCTTCATTTGACATACTAACTACTGTTATGATGATGCCTAAGAGAAACAAAGTGTTCTAATCTTTAGGCTTCTCAGATAATAAAGATGATATATTTTATCAGAACAGACTTTTGCCCTTCAGTTTGACTTTTGTTATATCTTTAATATTAAACAAACAAAAACCATTTATCTGTTCGAAAACCCACAGTTACTCACAATTACATTGTCTTCTATGCTGTATTATCACTCTAATAGGGAGTCAAGCTACTGTCAATCATTGTTCTCAGTGTCTTTGAATCCACCTTAGTCAAAAGATCACAACAGACTTCGGAGCAGAATGTGTGGGAAGGAATTCATAACTCTGGTGAAGCCAGGAGGTCAAAACTTATTGTTAGGAATTTGAGGATAGGTTAAGGATACTAGAGTTAATTTTTAAAGTAAAGAGATCCATCAAAGTAAATGATCATGTGCTTAACATGATAGTAATTTATATTCAGGAAGAAACTTTGGCATCAAGGAGGAGAAGTAATTGGCAGCAGATGATCCAATTGTCAGTCTATAGTAATTCAGGATGAAAAGTTTGCAGTCTCTAATTCAGACAGCAGTACTGGTATGGAAACTCAAAATAAACTACCCTGGAATATATTTCTTTAAAAAATTTCAAGATGGTTATTCTGAGAAACTGCAGATAAAGCAACTCTGAAAGGCTGCTCTTTTGTAAAATAAAATTACACCTATAAAGAAGATCTACATTAGTAAAAGGTGGATGCAAGCAGAGGCTTTTCTATCTGACATACCTCTTTCTGTCTAGGAAAGATCTATTTACAGGAGCAAGAGGTTGGAGGTCATACAAGTGGCCCAAGCAAAGACTAAGGCAGGTGGCTGTTACATGGGAGACTTTATCTACATAACAAGACTATCCATGCTCACTGTATACCACCTCCCCTCAACCAACCACAGCCAGCAACCACCTCCCTCCCACCCAGAAGCCCAAATTCCAATACTTTGTTTAACTCCTAAATAAGCTTCAACTATCTTGCCCTGCCTTCCAGTCTTTTATTGTGTGTACGGCTCCCATGTTTCTTCATGTTATTTGTTAAATGTTATTTTTTCCCTGCTAACCTGTGTAATGTTAGGTTATTTTATAGACTTAAAATGTCAAAAATTCCAAGAAAAAATAGTTAATTTAAAAATTCTTTACATAGAAATAAATGTACAAAAACAGTTTGTACTTACTATTGGAATGTTCTGGGTAAGAGGTTCAAATGCTGGTGTCTCAAACTCAAATGTTGCATCTGGTTGGTTTGCATTTACCACACCTTCAACATCGTAGACACGCACATCATAGCTTGATGTCAACAAAATTTTACAAGGGTAACGTCCAGGGCCAAGAGGAAAAAATTGTAAAGGAATTGAAATAAATTCTTCTCCATCTATTAAAATAATTAAAAACAAATATTTTAGTCATTTTAAATGTCATAAATCCTAAAATTCACTGTGGAAAGCAATATTTAATATTATTGTGTTAAATTATATCTTATAATTCAGAATAGACTAGGTTTCACTGAAGTAACACACCACATCAAAATCTCCAGGGCTTATTATGCAAGTTTATTTATGAGAGACTATAACTTGCATAGGCTGGAGAAAGGTTTGCTTGATAAAAACACTCCAGCCTCAAGCGCTCATGGATATCACTATCTTGCTTCTGTTTTATCAGGAATACCTCTGCATATTGGTCAACAAACCAGAGTAAGAGGAATGGCTGGAAGGTTGTTTCAGTGCTTTTCAATGTTCAGTCCAAAATTAATATACATTACACTTAATTGGCAGACACAGATACATGACAATAACTAAAAAGGAGTTAATAAAGGAAGTAGATGTTTGGACAATTTGATGAGCATTACTATCTATCACATTTCTATGAGTGAGAAGTGTAATACCATATAACAATCAAAAGATTTTTTCACTTAACCAGCAGATAAAAATGCTCATTTCCTAATGATCCCTGAGTCCAAAAGTGAAAGCCAAGGACATTCTTAAGTATACATTTTCAAATTCATGAAATGCAAGAACCATAAATGCCATCTAGCCTCTCTCCTTTACATGTTTTTAAAAGGAACCTATCATAGCAGTAGAATTCATAAAAATGATAGTTCTACTTTTGAAGATTTATTAATAATATGATGTTTCTTTGTCTTCGATATAAAAAATAATTCAATCATGCACGGAACATATGTAAGAATATTATATATTATAAATAAAAGGCCACTTCTGGACAAAGACACTTATCTGCAAAATCTGCACTCCCTTATATACAAATGATTTTGATCTGCAGAAATTTGGAAATTTCACTGGCTACATAGTGCGATCAGTTTCATCTTCTCATAGGCACAAGTTTTCTCAGTCCTAATTCTGTAATGTAACCAATGCCATTCATGTACTGAGAACATCTGAATTGGTTAATTTAATTGGTTTCCTTTCTTTGTATTCTCCCACTTTTCTATATATGCTTTCTAAGATTATCTCTTAAACCATTTTTTTGAACTGAAGGCTTTTTTGATTGTTGTTTTCTTTTTTT